GCCCAGGAGGCATCCGAAACAGATGCCCGAACCACCTCAGCTGGCTCGTCTCGATGTGGAGGCCAACAGGACAACGTCGTCTGCAAAAAGCAGAGACGAGATCCTGTGGTCCCCAAACTGGACTCCCTCCGGCCCCTGGCTGCGCCTAGAAATTCTGTCCATAAAAATAATGAACAGAACCGATGAAAGATCAGCAGACATTAAACCACGACCTCCATTTGTGACCCCCCCACCCACTCCCCAAACATCTTAATAGGATGGTGATAGAGCAAAGTTGCTGATAGATTTGCATTTTTAATGCATTTAAATTCTGAAACCTGTTGTTGCAAAGCACGCAGCTGGGCTCTGAATTATCCACAACGACAGCATTACTTTTTAATTACTCTCATTTTAAAGGGTTACTGCCACAAAGCCAAAAGCAGCTGTCTGCGACAAGTTGTTATGGTGCCAGTTGGTTACTTAAAAATGTAATTTCTTATTCATTCACCACAACCACAGGAAATTATGCCCTGATTACTTCAATTTAGAGCTCAGCTGATTTGTACAGTAGCAGCTCATTCAGTTATTAATAATGTGTTTGCCCTTCATTTAATTTTCAATCATTAATTAATACAGGCATTCATTTTTATTGTTTTTAAGCAGATTTATTCAGACAGCTTCATTTATTTATTCCCGCATTCTTGTTGATTCATTTATCTTCCTTCCTGCATATATTCATTACCTTATTCATTCATTCATGTTCCTGTTCATTCATTCATTAGTTCCTTTGTGCTTCATTCCTGCAGACCTTCATTGTTCTGCTGGCAGCTCAGTGCTGACAGGGAGGCATAGGGTGAGAGGATCTCTAAATATAGCTGAGATTCCCTCCTGCTTCACAGACACGCCTGAGACCACACTGCTGTCCTAATACCACTAGCTAATATTACCATGGCAATAGGCCTGTCCTCATTTCCTCTCTGCCACATCACGTACAAATGCACTTGCACACACACACACACACACACACACACACACACACACACACACACACACACACACACACACACACACACCACATATGCCAGCACTGACTCATCGCTCATAATTAGATGACATAGTCAACAGTGGTATAATCACTTGAGATGATTTGCTGTGTGGGGGTAAGCGTGTGCACAAGAGCAAGTGTGTGTGTGTCTTACCCCAGTGACATCCATGACCTTGATGGCTGCCAGATGCCCTGTCTTAATATGGCGACCCTGGTGGAAGGAGGAAAGGAGAGGGAGAGACTGAGACACAAGGAGACCAAAACCAAAGGAGAGGAAAAATGTGCGTTTGCTCAAGAAATGAAAATGCAGCACAAATGTACATTACACTGCATTCAGGAATGTACAATAAACAAGCCACTCACTGGCAAATACAGTCTGTTTCCATGACTTTTAAAAAGTTAAAATAGTTTCTGAGATAAGTTTTGCCCTTAAATACAAAGTCTGTTCATATCTGCCATCTAAATGTAAACATACTGTAAAGTCAACCGACAACCAAAATCCATAACCCTGGGCAGGAATCTGCCAAAATAATTGATACCTACAGTACATATTTAACCCCAAGGCAAGTTATTGCAGGTAAAAGTCAAACATTTCAGTTCTGCATGAGAATGCCCAAGAAGCTTTCACATCAAAATTAAAGCTTGCAGGCTTTAAGCAGGTCAGAGCTGAGAGCAAGAGGAATTATGGTGTCACCGACATGATTCAAATCGAGGACAAGACACTACTCGTATTCAACTGTAAGTCACAGCGTGACTCGTCCAGTCTGTCAGTGTGCCTCTGAAAATGAGCGTGGCTCAGAAAAAACATACTTGAGAGTGTCTGAGAGATCAAGAAGAGAGAGAGAGAGAGAGAGAGAGAGAGAGAGACCAATCCACAGACTCTGTTACATAACACTGAGGCTAGGCAGATGCCTGGAGGAGTTCAAAGTCAAGGGACTGGAAGCTGAGGGGCAAGTGGTTTGTTTGCAACATATCATCTGTGGCTGAGATTAGCTAATGAAGCTAATAGGGCTAGAGACGGTAAAACCATTGACAGCTTTTCCACCTGTCTGGACTCCGCAGATTAGCATGTTACAGTCTGAGCGGAACAGCTTAGCAGCCATGGCACAAACAAGCAAAAACACACACAAACAAATACACCAAACAAGAGCAGGAGTGTTTTCCTGGTGGAATTGTCATAAACCAGATGGCATTAAGGGTCTGGCTCTAAATTGCCTCCTGAGGGCTTTAATCAAAGAGCTGTTCTGATTGTGAGCACTACAGCCAAAACAGAGGGTAGGAACAGTGAGCGCAGAGCCGCGTTATGGCTAAAACTTGGTGGTTTTATTGCTTTGGCAATTCATTTGCAGGCTTGAGTTTACAGTTTCTGCACCCTGCCGCTGGTCATCAGTCTTTCTCACCGCTTCACATTCTATTTTTATGTCGTTTTAACTGATCAACTATACCCAAAGGCCTACCAAGACTCACTTTGCTTGATTAATAGCTTGTGAGTCATTGGACGCTATTCGATATATACAGTTATTAAATGTGAAATAATGTAGGCAGCTCAATTGTTCCTTTACACTGACAATTGACAAAGAAGCAACACTGGCCAGTGGTCAAATAACAATATGATTAAATCTCAGTTAGGGCCAAATATTGTTTTTATTCACTATTGTGTAGGTCTGTAAAACTGTGGTGTCAAATTCCAAATTGAAGACTGTTTCAGGCCGAAGATCATTCCCATCGTTTTATAAAACACCACAACTTGTTTCATTTGAGGAAACATTTCAGAACTGCAAGTAGGAAAAGACCAGTACATTTGGTTGGTTCCCAGAAGATGACTGGCAATATGTTAACATCAGCTGATGCCTCCGAATGAGAGGGATTCAAAGCCATGAGTTAAATTTCTCATTAAAAGACAAAAACATCTAAACTTGCTCACTTATTCCTAAAAAGAAAGTTAGGGTTTTAATATGATAGCTCTGTGTGTCACAATCCAGCACTGCATGCTGCAAACTAAGCACCTCTGTGCCACACACACACACTCACACACACACACGCACACGCACACACTTACAGCTGTCACTTACAGAGTTTGTACATAGACTTACATTAATTTCCAGGAGACTTGCTCTAACCTTAAACAGAACCACTACTTACCTTATCCTTAACCCTTACCCTAACACTTAACCAAAGCCAACCCTTGTGCTAACGTTACACCCTGTCCTTTTTGTATAGTTCGACAAATTAGTCGTGGGGCCCAGCCTCCAGTGCCCACAAGTGACTTCTGTTCACCGCAAAGCTCCCAGTGTCCCCACGAGAATATATAAACAAGGCCACACACACGCGCACACACTCACACACACCCATTCTAGATTCTGTGAGAGTAAAAGAGCTAGAAAGATTGAACAGGGATTTCTCATTAGGATCAGACCCCCAATTCCACAAGTACAAGGACTGGCTTTGCTGGACACCAACAAAGGAATTACAGCCACTTATAAAGCCAGCAACTCTCTCTCTCTCACACATGCACACAAAATACAAGAAGACTTTTTCCCCCACTACTCTCACAGACAGAAGTACTCTTACAAACACCCACACAGAGTCATGAAGAAGGAAGAATGACTATGGGGGTTGTAGAGTGACCAAGAGAGCAAAAGAGGATGTGTCAAGTAGATATTAGACGTGCATATCATCAAAGCTGGATAAAGATTCATTACTCTGAGCCACCTGACAACCTCCCTCCATCTCTCCTCCCCTCCTGGAGCAGTAATGCCACCCAGCCTTATTAAAGGACCAAGTGTGAAAGGAAGAGCAAAAAGAAATTAGCACGGGCACTTCATCTTAATCTCAGCTCTTTTGTGTCCTCTCTCTGTTCATTTATTTGCAAACTCAAACTGTTTGGCAGGCCTTGGGTTTATGAATATGAACTAATATTGTATTTCCAAAGCAGTTATGATGATAATACATAAACCGTAACGACAAAATCAAAACCATGTGAAAAATAATAAAATGGTTAGTGCTAAAACCATCTTGTTTCATCAAGGCAATGCTAAAATGACAAGTAACTGCTGATACCAGTTTCCCAAATGTGAGGATTTCTTATTTTTCCTCCGTTTCATACCATTGCAGGTTCAAGTCATTTGGATTTTGGACTGCTGCTCACACAAAAGAAGCAATTTAAAGAGGTTGGGAACTTGAGAGAACATCTACTATAAATTGGCTACATCAGAGACATTCTCCAAAATGATCATACTGTTTAATAAAAACAAAACAAACACCGGTAATGAAATAATTAAAGAACTCTCCTTCTGATCTGTCCCATTCAGAATGAGGCCTGTTCATCCCTTCCTCCACTTGTTTGTTGACTGTTTTGCCTCTCTGACCTAGATCTACAGTTTTGCTCTCCTCCTCTGCCTCTCTCTCCTATTCGTCCGATTCTTTCTCTCATTATCTAAACCTCTTAACTTCTCACAATCTTCTTTTCATGCCTTTCATTATTTCTCCTTTATTCTAAACATCTCACTTACTTTCCTTTTCCTGTCACTCGTTACCTATTGTATTCTCTCTCATGCTGCACAGCTCAGACCTGCGGCCTGTGAAAAGTGGGTCCTGCGAACACGATAGAGTTGAACGTCAATGGTGATGAAACCGCATTCAGCTTTGAGCTTGACAAACAAATCTGACACAAACCATGGATTCCCTGCAAACCTTTCACTTTGCCTCTGCTAATGCATCTAGCGCCTTCTGCAAACCGCAGTGCACTGATGTGGGCCTGAGTGTCTCTGCAGAGCAAAACAAACACATCCTATATGCGTCTACACACAAAAGCTTTCAGCCAATATTTATTTAATTATTTCAATCCTAAATTTGGCGATTACTTTCTCAATAAACCAATTAGCCTGTAAACTGTCCAAAACATATTATTGTAAACGTTTCTCACATGTTCCTAACATGCTCCATGACAAGTTGCTCTTGTCTAAAGCCCAGGGGTATTCAGGTAATTAATGAATCGTTTATCCATGCTGCTTACAATGAATTTTCCATCAACTGACTAATCATTTCGGCATCAGTACAAATAACATGTTCGAGGGACTTACAAGAAAAGCTTATCATGCTTAGGTATTTTCCAATTTTGCAACTAATCTTGTTATAATTCATAGCTACTCATGTTGTCTATTTAAGTTCATAACCATAACTGTATGAACAATAACATGGCGCCGTATCATTTTTCATCTCATCCGTCTCCTTCCATGTGCAGCATGAGGGAGGTTTCAAGCTGACACAAAGTACATCTACTGCAGTAATTATCATCAACACATAATGATGATTAATTGCACCTGTCAAGTGACAGTAAAACATGAGTAAAGCACATGCAGCCTATGAAGAACCTGATGTGTGAGTACGTACAGTATGTGTCTTGGGATGAAGAAAAGGAGATTGTGTGTCTGTATGTAATGACTCTTACGATTTTGCTCTTGCTATATGGAACTGAATGCTGAAGGGAACAGATACACACAAACACCACAGGCTGCAGATGGAAGCATCTCTTCATCCTTTTTCAGCCTCAGTTAGGCGAGACCAACCTCCCTTAACACAACCTGCTGGTGAATATTATGACACCCAGGGCTTCTCCCTGTCTGTGTATTTTATTTGTTGTATGTGCATCTATGTCCTTGCAAAGTCAATTATACGGACTCGCCCCACCCTCAGACACATTTACTATGCAGGACACTTCCTTTTGTAGCCTAGCAACAGTCTTGACTGGTCAGACACCTAGAGCAGAGACACACCAAGCTGGTGTGAATGAACTAGCACCTTCGAAGGCCGACTGTTGCATCACCTCCTGTCGCCTTTGTCTGGGCCAGTCGGGTTGAAAAAAACACTGCACAGACCAACTCCCCCTACCATCAGGTGGCGGCATCTGGTCGCCATTTAGAAAGGGAAAGAAGAAGGGCTAGACTGTGGAAATAAAGCTATAAACAAAGCAGCTGTTGTTCCAATGGCACTGCAGTTTACACCTGATTTTAATTGAGAATATGTCTGATAAAAAGTTGCAAATGACCCTGGTGTTCTCAGCCCTTGGTCCTTTGGTTGTGGAAGAAGTCAGGAGGCCACACAGACAAAAACACAAGGAGAAACCGCACTAAATAGGCAAAATCATAGAAACTACAGCAGCAGGCTGAGGGGGGTTTCCTGAACATTTCTCTTCTCGTGCACGCTAAGCTA